GGCCGCGAGAAAAGCATGACTTCTTCAGGCACATGAATCGAAGTAGAAGAATCCTACTTAAATCATCTTTCTTCTTCCTGCTTGCTCGGAAAATTTGTCACAATACACACTACACTGTATTATACAACTGTACACAACACAACACTGAACTTTAAATAATTAGAAAGCCAAACCATTGCAAACCGTTTAGCTAGTTGGCTACAACTGTCTACAGTTGCCAACAGTTGAGCACTCGTTCCAACATGGCGGCCGACAGTGCTGCGATCTACGGCTGTACCGTCAAACTCGACTTCCGTCCCCAAAAAATAAAGGGAGTTACGACCCCCTGCTCCGCGGAAAGGAAAAATGAACTTCGATAAGTCGAAACCTCTACAACTCGAAGATTTTAGCTTTTTTCTTGAAATTCGAGTTATCGAGGTTTGACTGTATATATGTATATATGTATGTAATGTATTGTATGTATATAATTATTTTTATATATTATCAAATTGTTTCACAGCAATATTATTTTTACATGAATAAAAACTCTATTAACTAAACATAAGCTTATTCAACTTTTTGCATATATCTATTTGTTATATCTTTTTCTTCTTATTTATGCACGCGCGCGCGGTTTGACCTACTTATTTTTTAATGTTTCGATTTATACGTATGTTTAATTGTATACACAATAATACATAGATATAATATAATAGAATAATAATAGATTTATATTTAGTTAGTGACTACATATAATATATTAAATATACAATTTTTTAAACGGGGCTTTTACAATATACGTTCTTTCCATATACCGGAGACATTATAATTATAGTTTTATTAATTACACACATACACACGTCTTATTTGTCAACGTCAGATATTCAGTAAATGACCAATAGTTTTACGTTTTTGAGAAGAAAATAGAAAGGCAGAGTAGTTACATTATCGACACGACAACCGATTGCTGCTAGTTAGTTTGTACGGCGCTCGTTGACGCTACGTGCAACCGCCCCGCTTGCTTTCCGATCCCCGCGCCTACTCTTCGAGTTCCTGACGCGCTGTGTATCATGCTTACGATCGAGTGAAACATGTGTCTCTTGTACAACATGGCGACCGGCAAGAGGCTTGCTGTAATTTTTTCACCAAAAGCTATCAATTTATTCGGCAACAATAAACTAAACAAATTTTCCTACATTGTTTTGCAACAATGCAACACATGTCGCCAATATGTATCGTCCGTCTCGCCAACTGTCAATGGTTGGAATCGCGACAAAGTAAAAAAAAGTAAGTGCACTCAGCAATTGCAACTGTATTACATCACTTTCGAAAAATTTTTATTTCCTATATGTTTGCCTGCTTGTCAGCAAGTTACTCGACTTTTGTCTTAATGTGCCGGTTTTTAACCGTCTGTATTTCTTATCGTTATTTGATACATATATTTATATTGTATGCGTTGATATAAGTCCAACCATGCTGATATAACCCTACCTGTAATTGTACTGCGATTCTATGTTACGCACATGTGAATTATAATTCACGATTTACATAGTTTGTATTTTAGAAAATGTTTTTAAAAGTTTTACCATCTTTGAAGCAAGATAATTTTTTTTGCAAAGCTGTAATAAAAAAATTCTATTTATCCGTTCTAACATTTTATATATCTAGTTTCTAGAACAATCTGAGCTTACAATTTGTTTAAAAAATAGAAAAATTGTAAGTTGCATATTTGGATTTACAATCTAATATCTGTTTTCAGATCATATCGGAAAGATATTTCAATATTGTAGAGGCATACACATAACAAACAAATTGTCAAAACGTAACTATTACGAAGTTTTGGGTGTTTCGAAAAATGCCTCGGCAAAGGATATAAAAAAGGCATATTTTCAGCTAGCTAAGAAGTATCATCCCGATACAAATAGGGACGATCCCGATGCAAGTAAAAAATTTCAGGAAGTTTCTGAAGCCTACGAGGTGTTGAGCGATGATACTAAGAGAAAAGAATATGACACTTGGGGTACAACTTCTGAACAAATGGGAATGGGTCAGGGTCAGGGAGCCAAGGGATATAGTCAAAATTGGCAATATAGGTCGACTGTTAATGCGGAGGAACTGTTTAGAAAAATATTTGGTGATGCTGGATTTGATTTTGAAGAAGATTTTACAGAGACAAAGTTCGGATTTGGTGCGGCTCAAGAGGTATGTGCAAACAATTTATTTGTGTGTTTCAGTTAGTTTTTAATCTTAATACAGTATGAAATAGTAATACTATTCTTCCTATATATACAGGTGATAATGAATCTAACATTTTCTCAAGCCGCTAGAGGTGTGAATAAAGATGTTCATGTAAATATCATAGATACGTGTCCAAAATGCCGTGGTTCACGTTGCGAATTAGGCACAAAGCCAGTAAAATGCCCCCATTGCAACGGCACGGGAATGCAAACTATAAGCCATGGTCCTTTTGTAATGAGCTCAACTTGTCGTTATTGTCAGGGTACACGAATGCACATCAAGTTTCCTTGCACTGAGTGCCATGCAAAAGGACAAACGGTACGAAAGTATTTTCTCATCTATTAGTATTTCTCTAAGAAAGAATCGCTCGCTATTTCTTTGATCGCTTATTTTTACAGGTACAACGTAAGAGAATAACAGTTCCAGTTCCGGCTGGTGTGGAGGACGGTCAGACAATTCGTTTATCCGTTGGCAATAAGGAGATATTTGTGACATTCCGCGTAGAGAAGTCCCGGTATTTTCGGCGTGATGGATCCGACGTACACACCGATGCGGAAATCTCGCTTGCGCAAGCAGTGCTGGGTGGTGCAATTCGAATAGAGGGCGTGTACGAGGATCACACGATACAAATAACGCCTGGTACATCGTCTCACACGCGAATTCGTTTGAACGGTAAAGGTCTGAAAAAGGTCGACGGATTGGGATACGGTGATCATTATGTGAACGTTAAGATCACCATACCAAAACAATTAACCGACAAGCAGCGAGCATTGCTTCAAGCATATGCCGAACTTGAAAGTGACACTCCTGGCAGTATACACGGCGTAACATATAAAACAGATGGTAAGAACAAATAACAAAACGTCATTCTTAATTTTATTTCTTACGACAATAGGTATATCATAGGTAAATATATATCTCTTTCTATATTGAGTCACAAGTGTGTGTGCATACATGTATGTCATTTGTCTGTCGTAATATCCAGTTTATTTTGTGTACATTAAACGATGTTACAACAGCATCGCTTCCATTAGATCCTCAAGTCGCTTGAGTTTTCTCCTCTGTATACCTGCTCTTCTGCTAATACATTAAAAATAAACAATTTTTAAATTAAAACAAATGCGTTTTATTGATGTTATATTTAAAGTAAAATAAAAGAGAGAATTTTTCTCGCACGAAGATTCTTACAATAAATGAAATTTCAAATGAATTAGATTCAGTAATTTAACAAGAAGTGAAAAGAACATGTAAATATATCTGAATATTTGGTAACGCCTAGCTTCGACTTTGTTTTCTAGGCACAGCAGGTCCAAAGGTACAAACTCAAGCGAGACAAGAGGAAATGAATGATCAGACTAATCAGAATGATGGGTTGCTTAAAAAAATTAAAAAAGCCATTTTTGGATAAATAAATTTGTAAGTAAATTGATGTAACTTAATTCTGCATTGGTTCTTTATTTATCGTTAAATATTTAAATTACATATATTATGAGAGTCTTGAAATAAATTCAACACTTTTTTTTTTATTAATTCTATCTTTCATATAAATATATATAATGTGATACTAATTGATAATTTAAAAATTCCTTGCCTAGTGTACGAAAACATGTTTTGAGGAATATTTACATATATATTTTTTCTTTGTGGGGTTTTGAAGAAATTTAATTTTTCTCAACAAGAATGGTTTTTGAATAAAACAAAAATATCTATCGCAATTGTTATGTTATTATTGAATCTTCAACGATTCAAATTAGATCTCTGTGTTTTAGACATTCTGTATACATTCTAATTAAAAAAAAACTGTTAAAATTACTTTTATAAATTGAAATTTATTTGTAGGTACAAAAGAGTGCTATTCGGGTCCGTTTAACTTGATGGAATCTATACGAATGGCGCTAGGTAATGTGCCTAATCGCGTAGAACAAATCTCCGAGCTCAAACATCCAGGAGATAAGTCTCTTGATAATGAATCCGCGCGTGCTACCAAAGATACGTCGAGGAGCGATAGAAAAAATGAAACCAAGGCTGAGAAACAACGGCAGAAGATGAGCTAAGATGTGTATATAACGAAAGTTATATATATCAAAAAAATTTACTACACTTTTAATCAAGTTAATAGGACTGAAGCACGAGAACCGAATAATGGTTGTACTTAGCAGCAATACAACCGTTTGTTAATTTTCCGGTTCGGCAGAAATCTTTCACAGTTAAAAACAAATCGTTGACAATTGCGTTCTGCTGAACGTGGCAAAAAATAAATAAATGAATCCATATATTGCCTCGATAATCTAGATGTATAGCCGTATCGTAGTATACAAGTTTATTTGTTACGTCTTATTTAAATAAAGTGTACATGAAAAGTGTAGTTAAAACTGCTGTTGTTCTCTTCTCAATTGAAACGGGAGTGTATATTTGTAAAATAAATGCCACGAGAACGAGCATATATGTATACATATACACGTTTTTCTATTCTCTCAAGTTAAAATATTGCACATTCTCACATTTTTGTTTTACTTAAAATTTTTGCTACTTTTCAAAGTCAGCCGCGTCAGACTATTGATTGAGATTGGATTTGAATTTAATCTCTTAAGCTTCGACGACCAAACCGTATTTCAATCCGATATTTGTGAGGCTTTGGGTCGCCGATACTCTCAATACAGCCACCACTATTGCCGCAATAGTAACAGCGCCTTCTAAATAGAGACCGTACAATATCCGCACGTGACCGACAATAGTGGAGAGACCGCCTGCCGCAGTGAAATCCAATGGAAATAGCACGCTTGCTGCAATTGGCCTCGATCGCGCTATGCCGAAGCACAATATTCCCAAAATGTAATAAGCAACTGTACGAAAGAACAAACATTTCTCTTAATTATTTCCTTTTTTATACTTACGTTCTTTGTGCTTATTTTTATGTGTTATTTTTTATTGTTGTTCACACTAACCATAAATAAGCAAATGTAAAAAAAAAAGAAGTTCTACGAAAAGTTGAAAAAATCGAGGTCATTCTTTCTGATCGTACAAAAGAGAGAAATCTTTTTTTCAGTTTCACGCGACAGAAGAGAAGTAAATATATTTTTCACCTGAACAAACAAACAGCAGAATTTTTACCCATCTCGGCATCTTCGTGGAATGACTGGACTCCCAATGTTCAACTCGTACGCCTCGTCTGGCGAGCGCGTATCTTTGTAGACGAAGAGCGACCATTATTCCGAAATTCAGTACAAGAAGGAAATGCGCGGGAATGCCAATTACGGCGAAAACAACTCCTACCGTACGACCGGCGGTAGTTCGCGGAACTGGAGCTCCGAAACCTAGTAATGTAATTAAACAAAACAAAAAAAGAGTAATTACATAAAACACACGCGAATAAAAAAAGGTTTTACGCAATTACTTCAAAAAGTGAATTATTTTCTCTCTTATTATTAACATGCCTAAAGTGGTGATTAATGATATGGCGAATAACACGCAACCGGGAAATGTCCACAACTGTCCGCTGTTTCCGCCCTCGCCGTAACCGGAACTTACGGCCACCAGAAGAAGTTTCTCATGTTTGGCCACGTACTGCCGAACTTTGTCGCTCCACAACGGTTCGACGTCCTCATCCTGTTCTGTACGTAATTGACGAAGTTCGGTCGCCAAACCGACCGCTAAATCCTTCTGCATGTGTTTTAGCGAGACAACTTGTTCGCGCTCGCGTGGTCCTTCCGTGGCGCAAAACGCCGCGGCGCCCGCTACCGTCCAGATAATAAGCAGCCATAAAAGTCCTGGAATACATTAAATTTGCGTGTATAAAATTATCAACGTTCGAAGACTCCTGAGAACTCGTTGCAGTTTCTCTTATTGAATTTGTTATCTATACCGAGAAGTCATATGTCAATTTTTATGATTTATTTAGATTGAGAAAACAAAAACATCATTAATCAGTATAACTGTAACGAGCACCGCGGAGCCTTACAATATATATCGAGACTTATCGTCGAGCGCTTGTATACCAAATTGCGAAAGCGACAGTCGGCCCAAAAATCTCAAGTATTTCCAAAACCTCGAGGATTTCTTTGATTCCGAGAGATTCTCACTGTCTTCCTCGATGTCTCGAAGAGACGGCAAGATTCTCAAGCGTAGCGGCAGTCCTTCTACGGTCTGAATAGCAACAGACTTTGTCCATTTTGTTCGTATTACGCCATTTTTCAAACGAGGCGAGATTTCTGAAGAAATCGTCGTCGGTGTGTCTGCAATAATATCTATTTCAGAATAGATAGAAAGAAAGATAATAGATCTGTATCTGCATATATGTTATTGAAATAAAATCGCTTTTGTACGCGCAAAAAAAGAAACAGATAAGAGCCAGCGAGTTTTTTTTTTAAGTTGTGCTCGCGAGTCGTCGTCTAGTGAAATAAAAAACTTACTTTAGATCGCACTAAAGTAAATGTCACACATGTTGTCGATTGTAAATTCTCGATGAAAGTTGCATTAGCACAAAACACACGCATACACACAGGCAGTAATCGATTGAAACTTTGTAATAGATAGATATATATATACACAGCTGTGTGTTATACTGTTTTTTTTCTATAACCAGTGTATCGCACGATATATGCTACGCTTTTTTCAATAAGTTTTTTTTTAAAAGAAAGAGAGAGAAGGGGACAGGAAATCATTACGGAATATCTATTAATTACTGATAGTCCGGTTTGAAAACAATTTTATATTTACGCGCGAATTGTGATATATTCTCTCTTCTGTGCTATTAATTCACAATTTAACGCGGCTTAAAAACATTTATGGCTCAGTATTATTATTTTAGCGCTGTGATAAATATTCATATGTTACAAAATTTTGGTTAAATTAAAATATACACTACAGAAATTTAATGCCGATGTAGGCAAAATAGCACTTATTTTGAGTAAAACAAATTAACTATCAAACTGCTTTTAATATTTGAAATAAATATTATTTTATACAAATAATATTTATTTGTATTATTTATATTCCTTTATACAGATAATATTTCTTTGGCCATACAAATTATTAAATTTCTGTAAATTTTAAAAATTTAAATTCAAACAATTTTAAATTACCCACCAACGCTACAAACGACATCATAGTCATCGTCGTCATCGTTCACTTCATTATTCTTCCCGCGGTCCTCCGTCATCTTCACACGAAACTCCATGACGCGACGACGAGCAGCATCCTTGATAAGGGCTCCGTCCTTGATTCGAGGATGAATCAAATTTCTGAAGACACGACGACCTTTTCCAATACCAGGAGGTGACCGCACAGAAGGCGCAACATATCGTTCGCGTACGTGCGACACAGATGTCGGGGCGCGTAATAACGTCGCGACGTCCGGCACGTCACTGAGAGGCGTCGTGACGCCTCCGATAGCGGTTGGAGGCCGTGGAAAAAGGGGCACATTCATGAGCTAAGGTTAAGATCACGCTGTGATCAACATTGGCTCGGTCCGATTGCAGTTTAGCACGATCTTCCAGTCGATCACACGATCGCACATGTTTTACGTAACTTGTTCAACGAACAATTGTACATAATTGTTCAGGATTTTTTTGCTTCAATATTAGCCGCAACATCATTGACTTCTCCGAAGATTCATTTCAATTGGAAAATAATATACACGCACTTGTCACATCTGACGCGACGTTTTTTCCATTTTTCCTTTTGATCACATTTTCTTTGATCTCACACTTATATACATTGCATATTTTTTGCTGGAATAAATTTTTATGTTTATAAATTAAAAGAAAACCGAAAGAGCCTGTGGTCCAAGTTGAACAATCAAAAACAACTTAAAACGCAGTGTATTCCGGAGTGTTTTATGTTTATAACTATTAGATCCACATAATTTTCAGTCGTTCTCCATCTACGTGTGCGAATTTATGTATTTATCGCGCCGCAATTTTTTTATTCTTACATCGAACGACAAAAGCAACACGTTACTTTAGTCTTTTATCTTTAGACAAGTCGGCTCTCCGTGCCAGATATTAATTATTATATAATTACGTCAGTTTACAAAATATAATATTCGATTTCTTGATTATGAGTAAAGTTAAATTTTTTTCGTCCGTCAGCTATAACATCCGTTTAATCTACCCGCGTTTCTTGTGAAAGCTTTTACTTATTCATGATAAAAACCGGATCGATGAACTTTGCACGGAAACATGTTTTATACGTTTTATTATTAAGTAATATACTGTCTTCTTTCTACTGTTGAATACACACTATACAGAAATACGATGACATCATGTCGTTCGATGTAAGAATAAAAAACTTCAAACTTTTTTTTTAATTATAATTAATATGTGTTGCGTACATTTTGCAACTATAAAAAAGTAATAAATATTAATTGAATAAATAAATTATATTATAAATATATTAATATAGAATAAATATATTTATAAAAATTAATTTATAATAAATATATTTATAAATATAAAATTATATTATAAACATTAATTGAATATAATTCCGCGATGCGAGAAATGCGTGATTAACTTTTGTTGAAAAAAGTAATAATAATTTACATATATATTTTTATTATATTTTTACGTGTTGATATATTTTTATCTGTGTGTGGCGTGTGTATATATTTACAGTTTAATTGTGTCAAGATTTGACGGTATATAGTCTGAGAGACACCTTTCATTATATAACACAATTTTTACGTAATATTAAAAATTTATTATTGTCAATCTCCAAATCTCAAAAAGTGAAAGGAATAGAAGAACCATTGCGAACACGCAGAGGCGATTTGTGTTTTGCCTCGGAGAATTCGGAAACTACTGATCTTTCGTAGAATGAGAATTTCGCGCATTCGGCGCGTTGCACCGCCGCCCCACACAACCGGAAGAAATGTGCTACTGCAGATGTGTGTATATATACACTAGTAAAATTAGAATTCAGCCTTGAAATCAATGACGACGACCCTAAAGCGCCGCGTATCGCCGGCGTTCTGTTTGTGTCTATCTTATCGCGCACATATACATTTTGTATTTGTATGGTTTAAGACGAGTTTAATCCGCGCGATCACGCGAAATTCATCATATAGGGTAAATGTCCCAATAACTGCCACTTTCATTTGTTTTACTTATAAAAATACAGCGTATAAAAAATCATACTCATAATAAATTTTATTATTAAATTTGAACTTGGATTTACATAATAACACATATTTGTGTGTGCTTCAACAATTTTTGGATATAATCTTCAATATCTTCAAATACAAAACACGGACAAGAAAAAAACAGTCAGTAAAACATAAGTTCAATATATATTATATATATATATATATTAGTATGTGTAGATATGTTACATTATATTGTATTATTTAAGTTTTGCAATTGCATTGCGCGTTTTGTGCTACATAATACCTCTAATGTACATTCATCCCACACAGAACAGAAACTCCATTAGACGTCCATTAGTAGACGTCAACGGCTCCATGCGATGTCTAAATAAATGTCGAGTGGAGTTTCTGTATTCGATGTGTATAAAAATTTTTAACTAATTAACGTATTAACGCAAAATTTATTTAACTCTGTAAAAATATATTATGAAGAAATAAAAAATATTTTGCCGTCGCACAAACGAACGAACTTGCAATATGCGAACTTGCAATATGCCGCAAGCGCAGCTTACAATCGCATCACGCGATATGTTTTTGCCTGCTTCTGCAATACGTAGTAATAATCAAGCGTTGAACACGTCGGAATCTCATTTAGAATATGTGCGTGTATTGTGTGAACGACATAACACACATCGTTCTCGTTTTTCTCGCTGCAATTTTTACTATTTGTAATCATCACACGCAATATCTTTTACGTGTTCTTATAAGAAAACAGCAACGTTTTAAATACCGCTGAAGAAGATTGAATTCATTGATTTATTGATTATTTCCTGTTTTTATTATCTCTGTACGTGCAACGTTTGGAGTACAGCCCCAAATATATATATGTTCTGCATCCGATTGCTGTAAAATTAGTTTAGCAACTTCACTTTTCGGAATTTCAGCATTTTATTAAGGTGCATGCAAAAGTTTTAGTCTTTTTTTTTTTTACTTTCACTCGTTAATCATAAAATACAATGCGTGCAAGTGTTACGTCCTGGCCCCTGGAAACGGTCGGGCATGGACGGAGCGTAACACTAGTCGAATTTCCTTATCTCTCGACACACACACTTGGAGATACGGTCGTGTGTGCGTGCGCGAGAGTCGAGCGATCTTTCGGGTCCGGCGGACGGGTCAACGGTCGTGTGCCGCTTTTACTCCGTCGCTCTTTGGACTTCGCTCGTGTGTCTCTTTTT